ATATTTTTTTTTATCAAATCCGAGAGCTGTCTCACTCCTCCAGGCTTCAAGTGTAATTGAATAATTACATTTATATATTTGCTAAATGTATAAATCCATGATGGCAGATAAAGCAACAAAATGGTTTATTTATTGAACATAAACCATTGTTCAAAGTTTAGGATCAGAATTATTTGTATAAATGATTTTGTCTCATGTTCATAAAGGCAAATTTCTTTTTCTTATTATTTTTTTTTTTTACAATTTTAAATAATGGTTCTATTTTAATATATTTTAAAATGTATTATATTCATGTGATTATTTTATTATTCCTGATAATTATACTGCTAGTACAGTATGTTAATAAACTAGATATATACTGTGGTAATTTACCCAGTAGATCTTTTAGAATAAAAATCAACATGATTTTACCTCCTCAAGCACAGAGAAGTCCATTTTGTCATTTTATATAAATTACAATGATGTGCACGAACACTTGAACTAGTAACATATCGTAAAGCAGCATGCACTATTGCATGCATGCATGCGTAAAGCATATCAGTAATGTTTTGGATCCTAAAATAAACCCTTTGTCTTTTAGTCTTTTAAAAATGATTTATTTAGACTTTTTCTACAAGCTAAATGAATCTACAACTGGCTTACAAAGACAATTAACTTCATAACTGAAAACATAATGGATAAATGTGTGATGTTTAATACTACATTTTAACATTTTGAACTCCAGTAACCTGTTTTTACTCATCACAGGTCTTGACTGAAATACACAAGGTGTAGTTTATTTCAGACAGTGTGGTGATATCGATTCATAGCCTGACCCCATCCTTGAACTCTGCACAGCGGCGGATAGTCCTGTAAAGCCGGCACGATTAAAAGCGTTGCAGCCACCACGGCTTTATACTGTGTGCCATCATTCTCCTCAGTCATAGCAAGGTCTCCTCTGAACTGACTCCAAAAGCCTCTCTGTGCATTCAGACAGCAGAGTCGATCTTATGTTTATTCTCTTGAGACCTTAGGAGAGCGGGAAAGAGGGAGAAAGAAAGAGTTGGTGTGGCGTTGAAGGAAACTAAAATGGAGAAATGAGACCGAAACAGAACCACATGATAGAAAGTGAATGCCAGTGAGAGATGTATAAAGTGAAAAATGGATATAGAAGAGAAAAAAAAAGACTTTTCCAAATCCTAGTGAGCTGCCTCTATAGAGCACATTTTAAGGCATCATAGGCAAACATCTAATATAATAATTTGAAAGTCAGCATCAAATGTTTTCTTTAAGAAGACTGTAATCCCTGAATGTGCTATTATGAAAAAGTATGTGATTAAGTGAAAAAATAAATCCATGATGGCAGATAAAGCGAGAAACGGGTTTATTTATTGAACATAAACCATTTTTCAAAAGTTTAGGATCAGAATTATTTTTATAAATGATTTTGAAAGAGGTCTCATGTTCACAAAGACAACATTTCTTTGATCAAAAATCTTTTTCGTTTTACAATTTTTAATAACTGTTCCTATATATTTTAAAATGTATCATATTCCTGTGATAGCAAAGCTGAACTTTCAGCAGCCACTACTCCAGTCTTCAGTGTCACATGATTCTTTAGAAATCATTCTAAAATTGGGAGGTTAAGTGACTTTTGACTTGAAGTCATGATGCAAAGGTCCCCTTTGGTATGGAAGTACCTTAGGGCCATAGAAGTAAATTTATCCTAAGACACAAGTGAGATCACATTTTGTATCTTATATACGCACATTTTTAAAAAATGGCCGCCGACCATACTTGAAAGGCCCATATATTTGCTTCTGTTATTGTTATAATGACATATTTGGTATCAACGTGTACATTTTTGTGGTCAAGGAGTCCAATAAAATAGGTTCCAAGTCTAAAAACAATAATGTTGTCCTTACTATGACAATTGAAGGTGAAGTATGCAATTTTTTTATTAAAAAACACATGCCAAACCCGCAGTCCATTCACAACTTAATAATTTCTTCATTTAGGTCTGCTTCACATGCGCCTTTTACAGCACTGGCTGAAGTCGTTTACGTCCGGTCGTTTACGTCTCAAGGTGACTCAGAACTGTGTCACAGCTCTGGAGCCCTGGAATGCGGTCTACTGGTATCAGACAGGTGTAAACCAAGGGGGAATCTCGAAACTGAAAGTGGTTTCAACAGACGCTTCCAATTGTGGCTGGGGCGCCCTCTACAAGGGCAGACCGACTCTTGGTCTGTGGTCAAGCCAAGAAAGAGCTTGCTAAATAAACTGTCTAGAGATGAAGGCGGTCGAGAACGCCTTGCGGTTCTTCCTTCCCCTTCTGAACGGCCACCATTTCCTTGTCTGCCCGGACAACATGTTGGTGGTTTCCTACATAAATCTCCAGGGCGATCTGAGATCACGGAACCTTCATGGACTTGCAGAATGCCTCAATGTTTGGGTTCAGCGCAACCTACTCCCGGCGCATATGCCAGGCCATCTGAATGTGGGTTCAGACAGGCTGTCCAGGGACAACGTTCCCCCAGGGGAATGGTCCCTCCACCCTCAGACAGTTCAGCTGTTGTGGGACACCTTTGGCACAGCGGAAGTCGACCTCTTTGTGTCTCAAGACAACGCTCAGTGTTTTCTGCGCCCATCACTGGCCTAGCCGCCCTCTCTATGCTTTCCCTCATGCTGTTACCACAGGTAATCAAACTTATCAGGGAGAACGGTTCCTCTGTGCTTCTAGTAGCTCCATTCTGGCTGAACTAAGTTTGGTTTCCAGAGCTGATGCAGCTTCAGAGATTGGCTCCTTGGCCTGTCTCGTTGAGGAGAGATCTCCTCTTACAGGCTGGGGGTACAGTTTGGCACCCACGACCCGAGCTTTGGGCTCTGCATGTGTGGGCCATCAACGGGTACCTGTCAGTCTCCCAGATGGAGTGTTAAACATGCTTACACAAGCTAGAGCTCCCTCTACTAGATGGCTTTATGGTTCCAAGTGGTCAGTGTTCTCAGGTTGGCTCACAACCTGGATCCACAAGATTGTGGGGTGTCTGAGGTTCTCTCCTTCCTTCAGGAGCTCTTGGATAAGGGTAGATCTCCATCCACATTCAAGGTATATGTGGCGGATATTGCGTTTGCCAAACATTCGCATGACCTTTCACTGGGTAGGAACGGCTTATAGATCTATGAGCCTTCGTTGCCCTCTGGGCGTCAGAGGTCATTCCACTAGAGGCATGCCTCAGTCACGTACAATGTATGTTTTCATGTCTGTTAGTATGCTGTCTTAAAAAGCTGCTGCCGACTAGACAGTAGATATTGAGGCAGCTCACTAGGTTTTGGAACAGAGCAGTCAACGAGAATGAGCGTGCTTGTTTGTGTGAGAGAGAGAGAGAGAGGACCCTTGTGCGCCAATCTCATCTGTCACAGCCAAGCTTCATCATTAATATGCAACAGCAGCCTGCTGATGCTTGGCATTGACCCATTTTCTCGCTGAAATATCACCGCAAGGTTCACGGTGTGAGAGAGACGCAGACCTGCACATAATCGGCTTTGCGTGGAACACCCAGGCACAGGGGGTCTGCTTGAAAACACAAGCACTCATATCCTGGGATAATGATTTCCTCTTTGTCCAGCATACCTTTTGATTATGAGAGCTACAGGAGTTCAGAAATGCTTGTCCGTCCTCCAAAAATGATAACGAAGAAATCCGAAGTCATTACACATTTAAACCAGGTCCCCTTGCCAAATACGTGGCCAGCATATGAAATGTACTAATAGCAGGAAGTCACCTGATGGAACATAACAGCAATAGTATTCATGAAATTCACAGATAGTAAGAAGGGAGGGTGTAGTGGGATTTAGTGCATATTTAAAGTGTCAAGATGTTAGTATTCACATGTTAATATAATCTTTCAGTGGATAGAGGATGGACCGATTTGGATTGTTGGTCTATGATAGAGGGCTCAAGAATGCTTAAAAATGTAATACAAGTGTGGTGGAGGGATGCTGCGGGTGTTGTCACAGGAACGATCCTGTGCAAGCAACCCATTATATATGCGTACACCTGCCTCGTGATTGGCAGGATTAGATGAAAAAACAAAAACGTAATTAAATTGCGAAAACACGTTGGATGCACATTGTTTATACATATTATTTACATGTGTTTATACATATTATATTCACATACCTTGGCAAATGCTACTTGTCCTAATAATATGTGCTCAAGAGAGTGTGCAGTTCTATTTTCTTTTCCTTAAGGATGCACATGTTTAAGCGCAGAGCTTTTCTGAAGAATGTGTTGAGTACTTCAGCATTAATAATCAAAGCATTTGAGGGAAAGATGTTCTAACGGCTATGATGTATGGAATTGTTTTTCTTCCATTTGTGGCATGAAAACATGGGAAATAAATGAGCATATGCTTAAAAAAATGTGTTTAAAAAGTCCATTATACTCATCAAGGCTGTATTTATTTGATAAAAAAATAATACAGTAAGTTGTGAAATATTACAAGTGATCACATATCATGTGATCCTCCAGAAATCATTCTTATGTGCTGATTTGATGCTCAAAAAGATTTATTATTATTATCAATGTTGAAAACAGTTTTGCTGCTTAAAACGTGTGGAATCCATGATGCATTTTTTTCAGATTATTTTTGTAATTATTATAAATGTCTTTACTGTCGATTTTGAACAATTTTATGCGTCCTTGCTCAGTTTTAATTTCTTTCAAAATAATTCTGAAGAGTATACAGGAAGAGGATTGTTTGTTGTTGTATATATGTATTTTATAGTGATTTTGTGTTTTATCTTGTGAACTAGTATATTGACAAACATATTTTTCATCCTTTGTGTCACTTTGCTGCTGATGCATCCTATAATGTATCATGATTATTGATATTTTTTGTTGTCTATATATATTTTGCAGGTACTTTATGTATTTATACCTTTAGTATAACATAACATGTGTTATAGTGCATAATCTCTCTTCCTCTCTCTCTTTCTCTTGCTCTTTCTCACTCGGGCAGGTGTTGGGCAGTTTTAGAGATTGTTCCCCAGATGGCTGTGGAGACACTGCTGGAGGAGAAACTCTTAAATAGGAGTACAGGACAAACAGAGGCGACTCATCCAGTACACACATTTATCTACTCCAACATCCCCCTCGAGGAGTGAGTGCATACATACACATGAACATACAAACATCAGATGCACATTCTTTGAGGTTAAAGTACAATTTCTCAGGAGACGTGATCTTCACATGTTGTCATGATTCCCTTAGTTAGTGAACCAGGTGCTGTTTTTCATGGGCCAAAGTCTTTTTTTATTTATTTACGTATTTATTTATTTTTTACAAATGCTAGTTCTATTTTGTCTGTTTGTGAGAAAATAACGTCTGAGGTTGACCATGCCACTTCAGCTCAGTGAGATGTTGTTTTCTACCGTTATACATGTGCGTTTAAAAGCACATCTTCTCCCTGTAATGCAAGATGGCAGATAACGAATTAGAGCGCGTTCGGTTCCAGTCACGAAGAATTACTGCTCAATAAAACAAGTTGCACAATAAATGACAACGCAAGTCAGTCTGAATGTGAACATCGCTCACACTCTTTTAATCGTTGTCTCCTTGGCTTCATCTGTGACGGGGGAAATGGAGAACATCCTCAGAGTCTTTTTTTAGAGATTCATACATTACAGTACTTGTTTATGTATGAGGCTTGTATTAATATTTAAATGAGCTCCGTTCGGATGGGTGTCATGTGTAATACAACCAGATAGATTTCTGGCCCTAATGATTCACTTGTTTGTGTGGCGGTGGATAGAGTAGCACGATTAGACATGTCAGTCAGCGCACAGGCGGTTTCTTTCCTCCCAGATGCTTCCTCGTGCAGCCATTCTCACCCCGGCACACACCTCGAGTGATGCACCCAGCATCGTATGATTGACTAAGCAGCACTTAAGCAGGTGAGGACCCTGTAAATAAGCTTTTCCCTCCGAAATGATCTCGTTTTAGGCCCCTCCCTCCATCTCGAGCCCTCTGCGGATGGATTCTGCCACCTGGAGATTGCAGAGTTCTGCTTTTCTGCATCCCCTCCCATCCGGTGTTTATATCAGCCGGGTTTGTTGAGGTAATCCGGCCGGCTCCAAACTAGCGGAAAGATGGAGTTAGGGAAATGGATTTCTCGAATAAAATGAAAGTGTGTTTTGGGCGTACGTGTTACTCAGACGTAACTCTTGACAGGGGATTCATTGAGCTGCATAACTCTGTTCACTCATCTGTTGGGATTTTTGTCTAGTAAAGCCTTACTAGGCTGCAATTTTGCTGAAGGTCCTTCTACTCTGTAATTTCCTTTGAAAGCCATTGTTGGCGCTCTTAAAAGAATAATTGGCGAAGACTAACACTATTTGAACTATTCAGAGAGTATCTAAAGGTGATGTATCCACCGTAATTTAGAAAACACAACATCAAGGGGAAAATTGGAGGCTTGCTCTTAAACATGCCCACCACTTGATTTTTATTGCACACAAAATATTTCCTTTATGTTCGCAGTGAAACAGATTTTCCTGTCAGTATTTTGACAGTCATTTAATTTAGCTGTCTACACACCCCTGCTTTTTGAATATGTGAATGTTTTCTTAATGACGACAGGTGTCAGGAGTAGTTATGAGAGGGAATGATGGGACTCGAGGGCGAGAGATCCGCAGAACAACAGTGGCCCCTGGAGGTTAAAACATGTACTGCATGAGCATGGTCTGCTTGAGCGTCATTATCAGGTGCATAAATACCTTGAAAATAAAATCTGCTGAACTTCACAGCAAATGTGATCAATCTTGTAAATTATTGCTTACATGTAAGTACGTTGTTATTGTTTATTGCTTGCAGTAAGCATGTAGTATAAGATGCATCTGCGAATGCATGTTATCTTTCTTGCAATTACACATAAATCAATGTATAGCTGCTTGCTTTCGGGTTTCAAGTGCTTGTTTACGAGTTTATCCTGGAATAAGTACCTTATTCATCATCTGTCTTTCTTTACTATGGCCATATCCCCTTTCTTTTGCTCTCACTCTTGCTGTCATTCTCACTCTCAGCACCAAACCTACAACTCGCTAATGAGTAAAAGCCTCCCCTCTGGGCTGCGCTGTGTAGTGAGGTTCTCTAGAGGCTCTCCAAAAGCTCTAGTGGTAGATTTCATCTCATGATAGGCTTCACATTCAGTTTAGGCTTTAATTCTCCCATTCGATTCAATTAGCCGTTTCCCTAACACCAGAATGCTCTGTGTGTTTGACTCCTTTGTCTTATTCAAATGTACGCACAGTTCTCTATGTTTCTCTAAGCAGCAGAATTTGAGTTGGGGGGCCCTCCCACTACACGGAGTCACCTGTGCTTTATGATTATTGACACAAATATCATGTAATAATGAGACATTATAAATTAATACAGTGAGGTAATGTATAAATGGGTCAATGACGTGACGCCTAAATTTTCTGTCCGACTGCATTTTTTCAGGCAAAAATGGGTTTAAATGCCTATAAAGATACTGCATATTTGTAGTACCTCTCTCATGTATGTACTCACTTTAACTTTTCAAAAACCTTTTATTTATTTGTTATTATTTTGTTATTTAAAGTGTCAAAACATCATGTGGTGCGACCGTCCGGCCATAACTTCTGTTTTGAAAACATCTTTGAAATTACTCTGAATTAATTCAAATTTATATACTGCACTATTTGGCATGATTTCCAAAATGTTTTGTGATCCTTTAAAAAAATTCTTAGCATTTGCATTTATATTCCCATCATAATATACAAACAAACTTTGTCCGATGATGTCTATTTTATGAAATATCATGTGGTGCGACCATCAAAGAACTACCATTTTGGGACTTATATGTTGAAAACTATTCAAACACAGGAAGTTACATCATAAACCAATTTACCAAGGACCCATGGAAGCAGCAAGCAGGTTTTTAATTCTCTCAAATTGGAAAAAAAATAAACCTTTGTAATGGTTGGTATGCCCAGGTGAAAAAGACGTTGTATTAAATGTATTAAAAATATATTTGAAATACAAATAGTGTGTTTATAATACATTTGTATTTACAACATGCTTATTTAAAGTGTACTAAAAATGTATTTTATTGCATTTTAGTATATTTCTAAAAAGTATACTAGAAGTACATTGGTAATAAATATATATTTAATTACACTTTTAAGAAATATACTATAGAAAAGCATACTTTTAATGTATTTATAAAAAGTATATTAGTAATATATTGGTAATAAATGTATGCTTTATTATATTTTTAATAAATATGCTAATGATAATTATACTTTAAATGTATTTCTAAAAAGTATATTAGAAGTACATTGGTAATAAATATATGTTTAAATACACTTTTAAGAAATACACTATAGAAAAGCATACTTTTAATGTATTTCTAAAAAAGTATATTATTAGTACATTGGTAATAAATGTGTGCTTAATTATATTTTTAATAAATATGCTAATGACAATCATGCTTTAAATATGTTTCTAAAAAGTGTACTAGAAGTACATTGGTATTTAATTACATTTTTAAGAAATATGCTAAATACAAACATATTTTAATTATATTTAAAAATGTTTTACTAGAAACGCAATGATAATAAATATACACTTAATTACACTTTTAGAAATATGCGAAAAACAAACATAGTTTTAGTGAAGTTTTAGTGTATTTACAGAAAGCATACTTGTTGCTAAATTAAAGTATTTTTGTGTTCACTTCAAGTTTAAAAATTCAAGTCCCTTTAATTCCCTTCCTAACATGAAGGCAATTAAACATGTATCGAAATTAATTGTATATTTCTACAAAGACTAGAAGTAGCACTTTAATTATAAATATGTGCTCAGTTAAGCTTTTAAGAAATATACCAAAAACTACCACACTTTTTGTAATACTACCAACACTTAACTCAATGTATATGTATTTCACACTTTATATTATGTGTTTCAGGTTTAACTTTTTTAAATTAATTTGTTATAATTATGAAAAGCACTAAAATTTGACTAACAAGTAATGCACTTCTATACTTCTGCATTAATTAATCAAATAGTCTTTTCCACAAAACAAGTGAATACCAGTACTTGCACACATCAACATAAAAGATCAGGTGTACATACTAGAAAAACAAAATAAATTTCTTAAAGCTTGACTCTTACATTTGTTTAGCCAAAATGAATAAAAAAACTTGTTATAAAGCATGTTAGGTTTATATTAACAGAGTTGTTTCTTTTTTGTGGATGTTAGTTAATATTTCCAGTTGCATTCATTTGGACCAATCAGAGCCAATCTTTTCAAAACAAGCTTGCCGGCAATTGTCCAATCACACACTGCCATTTGAACTTACATGTTGGGCGGGGCGCGGACAGCGGATACTGACTGTCTGTCACTGTGGTGTGGTATTAGCTTCGGATATTTCAACAGAAATCATGTATTTTCCAAATTTTGCTTTGTTATTTCACTGACTCGGACCTAGTGAATGTGGATAGCACCGATCTAATATTAAGAGAACACACGAGCAGATTACCAGGTCGTCAGCTCCCGCGAACAATTTAGCAGTGAAGAGGACAACGCAGAGGTGCGCCGCCACGACATGGACAGAGCAAGATACTGCCAGAAAAGATCTTACTTCTTGGTGGTAAGTTTATTAGTTTAAGTGATTAGTGTAATTGGCTTTATTCTCACTTTGGGTTTAGAAAATATTTTCAGAAGTTGATGACGATGTTCTGTGGATTACTGGCGTTTCTGTTGATTTGACACTAAAGCGAGTTAATCCATTGACGTCTATCAACTTAATTGTTATAGATCTAGACAGTGACATAATACAACCATAAAAACATTGCACACTGTGTTTTCAGAAAAAAAGGTTATTAATGGTGATTACACGACAGGCTTGATTGTCCCTAAGTAACTTCTTGTGTTTTAAATATTATAATATATTTTAAGCTCTAATAAAACTTTACATTTGTGATATTTAATTCATAGTAAAATCTAATTAATTATTAGTAGGCTGTCAGTTTTCATGTCAATTCGATAAATAAATTAAGTTGTAATCACCAACTATAAGCTTTCATAAAACCAATTATTAAATATCTTGCACTGAGAAATTAAAACGATGTTAAATAATGAAATGAGAGTTTTTATATTTAATATTT